CCTCTTTGGGTACCTATTTTTGACCCGCAGCCAGTTGAAGGTTTATGCTATTTTCCAAAAAAGACAAGGTTGATGTCCCCAAGTGGCGATGAATCAACTCAAGTGGCTGCTCCTTTCTCCTCAGAAGTGGTGTCCTTTCGGGGTTCTGTTGGCAAACATGCAGAGCCTGTCTTGGACACATTCCCCGGTGGTGTCCTTTTACCCTTTTTTTGGGGAGGGTTCCCCTACTAAAATAGACTACAGAAAAAAGGGTACCCTAATTCCAACCTCTCTACTGGAGGACCTAGCTGCAGTTGCACAGACTTCCCCGTCCCCGTCAGATCTCTCGAGACCTCCGTCGGGTTTCCGCCGGTCGCCCCCCGAGCCCCGAGGTCCGCCGCGCTGGACGCCGCGGCGGGCCTTCTGCGGGAGGGTCCGCGGGTAGGACAGAGGCTCCGGCAAGGCGCGGTTGCGGGCGGGTTGGCGGGTTGGTGGCTACCTCCCACTTGCGGAGGTAAACTGAGCGTCTAGTTGCTTCAAGTCAAGCAAAAATAAGAAATAGGTCATGGACTTTTTTGTTACTCCTTGCCTCGGGCTCAGCGACTGGCAGCCACGCATAGTGCTTCCAGCACATGGAAAAAAGTCATGGACCGGGAAAAAATGAGCCGGCATGGAGCCTGGAGCCACTCATGAGCGGAACATGTGCACGGAGTTTCTGGGGACAGCTACAGAAAGATACGGCTGCCTTACAAATGAGGTAAGAAGCAGTATGCCGCATGACCCACGTGGGCCTTTCTGCCCAGGCAACCTTGTTTCGGGAATTCCAGAGCCAAGGCTTAAGAGCCAGCAGGAGTGCAACCAAATGGATGCCGACAAAAGGACAGGTGCCGTGGGTTCGGATTGCCCAAGTACGACACGGCGGAAAGCTTGGGTGTTAGGTAACTTTCGGTTATATCAAGGGAATCCAGTGCATCTCGATGAAGAAAATCATTCCGAACTGGCCCCGGCCCAAGGGAGTCTTCGAGCGCACGCTTTGAACCCCCTGGGGCAATCTTGGTCTCTACCGGTGTAGAAACCCTTTCGTTTCCCCCGCCCAGCAAACACGTGGGAAGTGGTTTGCGGAAGGCGCCTTTTCGCGTGATGCCTGCCTTTGACTTTTTGACTCGTGCCTCTCCGAAGGCCCCCAATTCGGGCTCGAAACAAGTGACACAGATAAACCCAGAGTTCCGCTTCAATCCACATGGTAGATTCCCAGTGGCCCACGCTGCCCTGCTAACTAGCCGAGGCCCAAAAACAGAATGGCTAAAGGGTGCACCGAGAAAATGCGAGGGGATTGTTTCAAGATATCCCTGGTATTTGCTTACGCCCTCCCGATATGGAATTTACTGCGCAGAAGATGGCCCCATCCATCCGGGATCCAGCACGGATCGCGTCCAGTGGGATCGCGCCCAGACTTCTACGAGTCCGGCTTGGACCGGGCCACGGCGCAGGCCCGGGTCCCAGGTTTCCCTTTCACCCTCCAAAAGTCCCGCAGGTGAGCCAGATTGTAGCGGTTTTCCCGTTCCCACTGAACGCACGAGGAGTCGGGATTCGGGAAGAACCCAGTTGGAACCTCATCAGGAAAAGTGCGGGGATGTGTATGAACAACCAAACAAAATATGTCATTCACATACCTATCCACAAAAGAACGCCGTCTGATGCGCAGGCGCCCTCACTTTGCAGCCAAACATTTGGTCCGCCCAAGAAGAAAGCGCACCAAGCCATGATTGTGAGTGTGGGGGAGGGATTCTTCCGATCTGGAGGAATACAGCACAACGCATTTCCATGGATTGCATTTGGTGACTATGGCTCGTGGGCTCATGTGAGCCATCAAATTTGGGTAGATGAAGGCTAGGGACAGCCCCAGCCATAAATAGTGAAGATGTCAGTTCTTTTCCCCCAACTATTTACACGGCTTTGGGCAGACTCCTTCAATACCAGTTTTTGATTGTGACATTTGTCAATTGAAGATCCCTCTTGAGTTTCATCAAACGCCCGTTGAAACTCTGGCCTGTTGGACTTGTAGAGCATGCTTTTCATTGGGCATCCCTGGAGTCCGGTTCAGACAGCCCCTCTTTCTGGTTGGAAGTCGGCGTCGGCCGCGCTTGCGCGCGTTTTGGGACTTGGAAAGGGGAAACCAAAGTTGAGCCGCCCCGCCCATTTTGTTTTTGGTCTTTTTGCATTCTTGTCATTTGCCCATTTTGTCTTTTGTTTTTGTTTTTTATTCTTGTCATTTGCTATGCGGCATGGGGCCACACATGCATTCGTGGACTCAGGCGGGACCAGTCATCCAAGGCGAGATCAACCAGTTGAATGCTTTGTGGGGTCCCTGGCCCTTGGGGTGGAGGCTCATTTTCTCATTGCTCCCCTCGCGGCTTTTCTCTCTCTCTCTCTCTCTCTCACTGTCACACACACACACGCTTTCACATATTCACAGATTTACATATGGCTCGCGGACGAACCTCACATATATATATATATATATATATACATATTCACACGCACGTGCGTGCATACAAACACATCAACACATTCAACCATGAACCATCCATCCATCCATCCATCCATCCAGCCAGGCCAGCCAGCCAGCCAGCCAGCCAGCCAGCCAGCCAGCCAGCCAGCCAGCCAGCCAGCCAGCCAGCCAGCCAGCCAGCCAGCCAGCCAGCCAGCCACCCACCGTCGATTTGTTCGTCCGTCCGTCTGTCTGTTCATCCATTCATCTGTTTCTCCCTCCCACCCACCCACTCGCCCATGCACGCAGATTGAAACGTGAAAGCCAACAAGCGTTCCAACGACTAGCCACGTCGTTCCAGGGCGGTGCAGAGGCTTTCCTCAGTGAGAATCTCCCGGGCTGATGGGCTTGTTTTCAATTACCGGTATGCACTTTATCGGTCCCGGACCCTTTGGTGGACATAAAAACACGCTGGGGATCTATGTCCACCACTCTTAATGGAGTTCCCTATCAACAGTTTGTAGCCATAGAATGCTGACTTACCTCACAGTGTAGTAGGTTGGTTGGGCAGGGCCTCACTGTGGTTTGAAACATACTTGGTTTTCAGAGCAGACTGGATGCCACTGCCGGCTCAAGTCTGCGACTTGCTCTGTTTTTATCCCAACCCTTCCCGCCCTGATCCCCTCTGCGGGGTTATGGGCAGAGGGTCCTTGTTTGGGTTCACATTTATAACCCGGGGCCATACCACTGATCCCTTATGGCTGTGCGTGATCTAGTGTGTCGGGTTTAAATGTAGAGTGTCTGTGACCTTTACAAGCTGACCTTGAGAGTATTATCTTTTGATAATCTCCAAGTCTCGTTACCCACAGGTCCCTTTTTGTTATCAGTCACAGGTCCCTTTTTGGTGATCCCTCATGCCAGGGCATCTCCGCATACCAGTAGAGCCGGCGAAGCCGGAGGGCGGAAGTTTCAAAAATATAAACACTATAGTTTTGTGTCTCTTTCTTTTCTTTCTTCTTCTTCCTGTTCCCGGTTTCTCTTTGTTCCGACATTCTGTGTGTCTTCCTTATTTTCTTTCTTTCTCTCCTTCCTTCCGCCCTTCTTTTCTTTCTTTCTTTCTTTCTTTCTTTCTTTCTTTCGTTTTGCTTGTTTTTGCGTTCCTTCTTTTATCTCTTCTCTATCTATGTATCTATCTGCCTACCTATCTATCTATCTATCTCTCTTTGTGTCTATCTATCTCTCTTTGTATCTATCTAAATATCTGTCTATCTATCTTTCTATCAATCTATCTATTTATCTCTCTATCTATCTATCTAACTACCTACCGATCTATCTTTCTATGATGTTCGAGCCCCGGCTGCAAAGTGGACTTCGCGTACTACTTTCGTACTTAAAAGTTGCGGTTTTCAAGCCCCAGCTGCGAAAGTGGACTTCACGTTCTACTTTCGTACTTAAAAGTTGCGATTTTGGAGCCCCAGCTGCGAAAGTTGACTTCGCGTACTACTGTCGTGCTTAAAAGTTGACCTTGCGAAAGTGCTGCGCGTGCCACGAAATCTTCACTTGACCCTGCAAAAGTGCTGCGCCTGCCACGAATTCTGCACTTGACCTTGCGAAAGTGATGCGCCTGCCATCAATTTTGCACTTGACCTGCCGAAAGTGCTGCACCTGCCACGAATTCTAAATTTGACCTTGCGAAAGTGCTGCGCCTGCCACGAATTCTGCACTTGACCCTGCGAAAGTGCTGCACCTGCCACGAATTATGCACTTGACCTTGCGAAAGCGCTGCGCCTGCCACAAAATCTGCACTTGACCTTGCGAAAGTGCTGCGCCTGCCACGGAATATGTACTTGACCTTGCAAAAATGCTGCGCCTGCCACGAAATCTGCACCCGACCTTGCCAAAATGCTGCGCCTGCCATGCAATTCAAACCCTGCGAAACCTCTGCGTTGCCGTGCCAATGGGCCCGGCGCCGAACGTGATCCGAGACCGCTCCGAGCATGCTCCGAGCCCGCGCCGACCAGACGCCGCGGACAGGCTAGCTTTCGCATCTCCGGAGACGCCGATTCGCGCACAGCGCCACGCTTTTTGCGACTTTCTCATCTCCGAAAACGCCGATTCACGCACAGGGCCATGTTTTTTTTGCGACTTTCTCTTCCCCTGCCACACGCGCGCGCATTTTTCCTCGTGGGCTTATTCCTTCTCTTGTCATTTGTTTGAAAGAGCTAGCTTTCAATTAGTTGCCGTAACACGGAAGTTCCTTCTAAACTTCCTTTGACCATGGTAGGTATTTCTAGCGACTGACCGGCAAGCCCAGGGATTTGACAAATCAGGGCTTTCGGCCATAACCTCTTGACACCCCAATATTCTGGATATTTTGACTGGACATTATCAAGGACACATTCCAGCTTAATATCCAGCCTACCTTTCCGCATTTGCGACAAGGTGAATATTTTGAGGATCTAGCAGTGGGTCGAACATAGGTATCCAAAATGGGTTGCCCTGGTAAGGATGAAGAGTCTGCGGTCCATATATGCTGGCGGCTTAATGTTGACCCATACCCATATGCAACACCCACTGCTTTTCTTTCTTCAGCTCACCCCTCTTGAATGGGATTTCGAATTTTCCCCCTTGGACGCCAACTGTTTTATTTTTTGGGGGGGGGTTTCCAAGGGAGCGCCAGGACAACACGCCCCTTCCGGGCTCAGGTTTCCATCTCTCAGCCTGGACGCTTCACGCGCGCAATGCTGAGGCTGGAGGTGCCCAACGGCCATGAAGAAGCCGGGCGCCTGGCTGCGGCCTCAGAGACGGGCATCAATTCGCCGCCTTTGGGGCTGGTTGCCCCTGGGGCTCGGTTTTTTCAAAAGAAGAAAACCCACCATGCGTCTGGAGGGAGTAGGTATCCATGTGCTTGTGGAGCGATGAAAATCACCACATGGCCTTGCTGAGCATAGGTGTCCCTGTTTAGGTTGCTCAAGAATAGATGGTTTAGGTGGGTTTTGTTGCATATACCAGGGCCTTTGCAAAAACCGACACCCATGTTTTTGAGTCTTTTTTCTAGGGAAGACGAACACTGATGAAATAGCCACCTGCGCACATGGAGCGATTTGTGCTTTTCAGGCATCCGATCACAAGGATGCCAACATGAGCTGGCCGAGGTGGCAGTCCATGCAGCATGATGTCTCACCTCATGAGCTCTCCGCATCCTGATGGCAAATCATTTCATGTTGGTTACGCGCTTCCTAGCCGTGGTTCAAGGAATGCTAGGTTTTTTTGTCGACCCTCCTGCACATGATTTACTTGGCGGCTGCTGTCCAAACATTTTGAGGGGTTCCCTAAGAACCAGTTGGGGGGGGGTCCCATGGTCCCATGAAAAGAGAGACGCCCACATGGAACGTGACTGGCTGGTGTGGGGGAATTCCAACGGACCGCTGGACCTGTTGGTTTCTCGAGGCCGAGGGCTGGTTTCTCAGCGCCTGCGAAGCAAACCTGTCAGGCGATGGGGGCGGCGGTTCCACCAATTCGGGGCGTTTCGAGCTTCTGGTGAAGGTCCTTTACTTGGGGAGCCCATTTTTTCGTGTTTTGGACTTATTGTAAAAACAAATGCAACGCAAATGGGTGTGGAACCCACCAGAAGATCCATAGATCAAGATGGTCATCCAACCCAACCTCTGAGCAGCTCTCATGTTTGGAGCCCAGGTGTCCCTTCACTTTTTGAGCATCTGGATGGACGAGTTTCGTGTTTGGTTCGGATTTTTTTCTTGCCCGTGCCAAAGGACACCTGGGGGTTAAGCCTGTAATGTGTTGTGTTCGGGTCATACTCTGGATGGACGAAATCCTGCACAAAGAGGAAATTCTGGAATGATGATTCCCTAAAATTACCAACAAACATTGGTTTCAACCATGGTTTCCAAGTGGTGCGAAATGGATTTCGCAACCATCCACAGTAGTCGATGGTTTGTTTTTTTGCCTCCCCAGTCGGAGGGTTCGCCAGGCGAAGACATCAACGCCACGGGCTTGGCAGACTTCCTCTACACCTTGGGCCTGGCCATCGAGGATCCTGGGAACTGGTTGGGGGGTGCCAAGTGAGGCGCACCTAGGATCTGTTGTTGAAGTTGGTTTGCATGTTTTAGGGTTCACGAAGTCTTGGCCAGAATCCAACATGCTATTTCTTTGGTGGGGGGAGAGGGCAAAAGGAGGTTGATGTGTGTGTGTGTGTGTGTGTGTGTGTGTGTGGGTGCGTGCGTGCGTGCGTGCGTGCGTGCGTGCGTGCGTGCGTGCGTGCGTGCGTGGGTGGGTGGGTGGGTGGGTGAGTGGGTGGGTGGGTGGGTGGGTGGGTGGGTGGGTGTGTGTGTGTGTGTGGCCCCCCTGTTTCTAAGGGGTTCCGTGTTTCGTTGTTTTTGGAGTCCCGTGTTTCGTTGGTTTTGGAGTCGGACGCCACCTTCTTGCATGATCAGACATGAAGTACCTGGACTGGTTGATGGCGTTCCGGATGAGGATGATCAGTCCAGCGAAAGATGATCTGACTTGCCTGAAGCCGAAACTCCGTTGCCCTGGCGGACACCCTGAAACTCGTGTGCTGGATGCCACTCACCACTTTCGCCGTCTCATATCAAGTGTGTTTAGGCGCTGCGTCCGGGCTTCGGTCAGTGTCTTGATCCCCTTTGCGGGCATCTGTTCTGACTCATGTAACGACATTTTCTTCAGACAGTTGCCGGACCTTGTCGCTCGTGACTCTTGACTGTTTCCACTGACCCTTCGCCACAGGCTTGGACATGTCCCGGACATTCAGGCATCCCAGACCCATTCATCAGACCATTTACCAGACCAAGTTTCACTCCAGACCGCGACATTGGCAATTGTTTCCTGCTTTTTGCTTCTCGGGCCCCCGTTTTTGTGGGTGTCGGGTCCCTTTTTGTTTTGGTTTGTCTTTGTGTGTTTTTCCTGGGTTCCTTTTCTTTTGTCCCCTTTTTTTTTTTTAAAAAAAAAAAACAACAATCAACACTCAGCGCCATCATCGGCATCTTTGGCAGCGGCATACTGGCGGTGACAGCAGCCAGGTGCAAGAGCAGTTGGTGCAGGTCCAGGTTCCAGGCCCTGCAGTACGTGCATCAAGTGAGTCTAATTGATCAAGGCCTGGACGCGTTTTCCCGACTCCGAGGCAGGTGGGGCAAAACTGACCAAATCTCCCATCGAGTATCATGATGGAGGCGGCTTCCGGGGGTTTTTGAAAGGTGAGTCTTCTTGCTTGGTTTTTTCCCCCTGCGGGGTGTGTGTGTGTGTGTGGCCCCCCTGTTTCTAAGGGGTTCCGTGTTTCGTTGTTTTTGGAGTCCCGTGTTTCGTTGGTTTTGGAGTCGGACGCCACCTTCTTGCATGATCAGGCATGAAGTACCTGGACTGGTTGATGGCGTTCCGGATGAGGATGATCAGTCCAGCGAAAGATGATCTGACTTGCCTGAAGCCGAAACTCCGCTGGCGGACACCCTGAAACTCGTGTGCTGGATGCCACTCACCACTTTCGCCGTCTCATATCAAGTGTGTGTGTGTGGGTGCGTGCGTGCGTGCGTGCGTGGGTGCGTGCGTGGGTGCGTGCGTGCGTGCGTGCGTGCGTGCGTGCGTGCGTGCGTGCGTGCGTGCGTGTGTGTGGTAGGGGAAACGCACCCGCGAACAGTACATCGTCGAGACCCCCCCCAAAGCAGAGAAACGAGGGCTTGTCGAGCACGCTTCCCCCCAAATCTTTGGGGCGAGTCCTGCAAAACCCTCGCAGTTCTCGGAGAAATGGCACACCTTTCCCGCGGCTTCGGAAATCAGAGTGTTTTTTTGGAGGATAGCTTGGACAAGGGAAAGGAAAAACCGCCCTGGTCCAAATCCCTATTTTGACACCCCAGCATGAGGATTGCTCGCCATTCCTTTCGATTCATAGGGGTCCGTGCGCAAGGTTTGGACAACTGCAGCAGCGTTTGTTGTATATTTTGCGGTCAGGACATGGGGGACTCACTGAGTATCCCACACGCCAGGGGGAAGTCAACCCAACTTCCAGAAATCCCTAAATGCACAAAACTCACCAAACCATGCAGGGGGACTCAGTCCAATTGTCCAGCATATCCATGCGGGTAAGCGCCCCGATGTCGGCGTCTGGGGAACTTGCCCCGGAGCTCTTTGAAAGGAATTCGCGAATCAACAGTAGGCAGCTCGAAAATGGTGTCAACTGATATTCGACGTGCAAACTTTGCCCAAGTTGTTGGTTTCTCATTGGGAATGCAGCTCCTCCATGTGTTGGCTTCTCCATTGGTCAAAGGGCACCCCTCGAACCTTTGAAAAGGAGCTCCGCTCTTTGATTGGAAGGTCCGGCGGCATCTTTTTGTTGCTCACAATTGCCAGTTTTTTTCCTACGTGTTTCCAGACCGACGGGACCCACCCGGACAGGACACAGGCTTGGCCGCGTTCCTGCAGGTCTCTTCGTGCGGAGCTGAGAAACGGGGCATAAGGAAGCCCTGAAATCAGCCCTGAGCGGGAAGCCTCTCCGAAATCATGTTGACTTTGACTGGGCATGAAAGTGTGAAAGGCTGATTCTGAGACCTTTGGCTGGCTATCAACCCTGGAAGCTTTGTGTCGAAACTGAAGACCGCAAGTGTAGGTGAAATCTTCGACCAGACTGGGACATTCGGATTCTCCGGCTGCAAATGGAAGCCCATTAAACTTCAAGAAAGCGCAATCTGTTCCAGGCCATTGATTCCCGTCCAACGTGATATTTTGGAGCGCCCAAGAAAGTGAAGGGTTGCTCGAGTAGAAGAAGTTTATACAACACTTTTCATCGAGTCTGGCCGGGTTGCCGCAAGGGAGCGCACCAATCACCTCATTGATTGGTGGCCGGCCCTTTCAGCATTCACCATGATATATTCGAGCTGGCGACGTTCGTTTGCGTCTTACCTCACTTCTTCAATCTCCGGAATTCCCTTCTTGCTGCTTTGCGTCATGCCAATGGCCACCCTAAGAAAGGCTTGAACCAACCCCTGACGAGCCCCTCATGTTTTCCCTAGATATGGCCAAGCCTCTGGGCCTCTTCAATGGATTTGGTTTCTTTTTCTGCCGGAGCCATCGTTTGGGGGACCAGGTTTCGGACTCTCACTTGACCTTCGATCTTAAGATTGCCAGCAGTCTCTTCCTTTGGGGCTTTGTGGGGGGAAGGTTCGACCAAGATGACCAGCAGTCTCTTGCTTTGGGGGGGGAAGGGCGGGCGCCCAACCACCAGGGCTGGCTGTTGGGTTGTTGGGGATGTTGGGGCTGTTGGGCTGCCAATGGCTTTGTTGGGCCTGGGCAGTTGGGCTGTTAGGGAGCCCTGAATCTCCCCATGTCCAGGAACCACATGGCCATGGGGCAGAACCTATGGCTCCATTTTGGGGTAGATGAACCTCCATTTGCCAGCTATTTTGAGGTTCACCAGGGGTACAGGGATTTGACAACCACAGCCCTGGCAATTTCGGGTCGCCGAACTCCTGAAGGCAGGACCAAGTGACGCTGACCGGCCTCATGCAGAACTTCTCCTCCGCCTCTGTCGTGGCGGCTCGGCTTGCCGGTGACGCGTGGCGTGGCCTGTTTTTGTGGGGGAACCATGATTTAACTTCAGTGCACCATGTGGCTGTGGCCCAACAACCGGCATGGTTTAGTTTGGGTGACCAGGGGCTTTCGTTTTTTTTCTTTCCCGAAAGCATCGCGAAGGGTTCTTCCGTGCGGAGCCCTTGGACAAGTTACATAGAGCCAAGTTACATAGAGCCAAGTTACATAGAGCCAAGTTACATAGAGCCAAGTTACATAGAGCCAAGTTACATAGAGCCAAGTACATAGAGCCAAGTTACATAGAGCCAAGTTACATAGAGCCAAGTTACATAGAGCCAAGTTACATAGAGCCAAGTTACATAGAGCCAAGTTACATAGAGCCAAGTTACATAGAGCCAAGTTACATAGAGCCAAGTTACATAGAGCCAAGTTACATAGAGCCAAGTTACATAGAGCCAAGGTTAGGTAGAGCTTAGAGCTTCGGCGTTAGCAGCTATGTAAGTTAGTTTAGGTTTCTAAGGCGCCGGGGCGGGAGTTTGATCGTCGCTCGGGATTGCGACCCTCTGCGGAGATTCGCGTGGTCGAGGTTCAAAAACTGAGGACTTTTTTACGATTTCTGCGGCGCGCGCGACCCTCTGCGGAGATTCGCGTGGTCGAGGTTCAAAAACTGAGGACTTTTTACGATTTCTGCTGGCCGCGCGCGACCCTCTGCGGAGATTCGCGTGGTCGAGGTTCAAAAACTGAGGACTTTTTACGATTTCTGCGGTGCGCGCGCGACCCTCTGCGGAGATTCGCGTGGTCGAGGTTCAAAAACTGAGGACTTTTTACGATTTTTGCATGCGCGCGCGACCCTCTGCGGAGATTCGCGTGGTCGAGGTTCAAAAACTGAGGACTTTTTACGATTTCTGCTGGCCGCGCGCGACCCTCTGCGGAGATTCGCGTGGTCGAGGTTCAAAAACTGAGGACTTTTTACGATTTCTGCGGTGCGCGCGCGACCCTCTGCGGAGATCGTGCGCGTCGAAGCGCTCTCGCTGCGGCGCCGTGCGAATTTGTCTTAGTCTCGGCGAACCCTCTGCGGAGATTGTGCGTGTCGAAGCGCTCTCGCTGTGGCGCCGTGCAATATTCTTGCTCGCGAAACGGCCTTTGGAAGTTGTCTCGTGGTTTGCGCGCCTGCTTTCGCAATCCCGCGGTCGCGGGTTCGATTCCCCCCTGGTCCGCGGCAGCTCCGGCTTGAAAATCGCAGCTTTTAAGTACAAACGTAGTACGCGGAGCGTGCTCCTGCAGCTCCGGCTGGAAAATCGTAACTTTTAAGTACAGACGTAGTGTGCGGAGCGTGCTCCCGCAGCTCAGGCTGGAGAATCGCAACTTTTAAGTGCAAACGTAGTACGCGGAGCACACCCCCGCAGCTCCGGCTTGAAAATCCCAACTTTTAAGTACAAACGTAGTACGCGGAGCGTGCTCCTGCAACTCCGGGTGGAAAATCGCAATTTTTAAGTACAGACGTAGTATGCGGATCGTGCTCCCGCAGCTCAGGCTGGAAAATCGCAACTTTTAAGTACAAACGTAGTACGCGGAGCACACCCCCGCAGCTCCGGCTGGAGAATCCAACTTTTAAGTACAAACGTAGTACGCGGAGCACACCCCCGCAGCTCCGGCAGCACTTGCGCAGAGCAACTTGCGTCACTTGCGCAGAGCAACTTGCGCAGAGCAACTTGCACAGAGCAATTGCACAAAGCACTTGCGCAGAGCAACTTGCACAGACCAACTTGCACAGAGCACATGCGCAAAGCGCTTGCACGGAGCAACTGGCGCAGAGCCCTTGCGCAGAGCAACTTGCTCAGAGCACTTGCGCAGAGCAACTTGCACAGAGCAGGCGCAGAGCAACTTGCACAGACCAACTTGCGCAGAGCACATGCGCAAAGCGCTTGCGCGGAGCAACTGGCGCAGAGCACTTGCGCAGAGCAACTTGCTCAGAGCACTTGCGCAGAGCAACTTGCACAGAGCACTTGCGCGCAGCAGCTTGCAGAGAGCAACTTGCGCGCAGCAGCCTGGAACAATGCAGCTTGCGCAGACCACTTTCGTGAGAAATCGCGCGGCGCAGTTCGAGAGGAAAGTAGGATGATGAGATGGAGCTCTCATGTGACCATACACACTGAGCATCGCCGCGCGCAGACACGCTCGCCGCAGCGATGTAAAAAGGTGTCTCCGCAGCTGGATGAGCACCTGTGGAAAAATGCTTTCGGGCCAATCGTCTTCTAGTTGTATATCCTAACTTTGGAGCATTTTGCTTGGATGTTGGGACTCTAACTTTTTGCCAACTAGTGGGTTTCCATTAAACCACTAACAGTTATTCACTTCTAGCAGGGGAGCAGACAGCAACCGAGCCAAAAGGTAACCGGGGCAACCGGTCCAGTCGGAATGTGGATCTCAGGTGCCCAATGCCACGCTGCTGGAGGTGATCAACAACCTGACGCAGGCAGGGAGGAGCTTCCCATGGCAGGCGCCCAAAATTGCCATGCGTCCTTTTGGGTATGTCTTTCCTTTTGATGTCCCTTTGAAGCCACCAAAAAAGGGGTACCCCCCCAAAAAAAGGCCAAGCAAATTTGAAGAAAAGAGACCCTTTGGGTTTCCCTTGGAATACGATACCAATACAATCTGGGGTCCGCCATTTTGGGCAACTCCAGCTTGGGGACGGGCGGCAACATGGGTGTGGCTCGTTTCTTTGAGGCCATTCTCATCTTTGGTCCGGGGAAGCACCTCGAAACCGAAGGCCCTTTTTCAGGCCCCCCGATTTCGACATAGACACCATGCAGCTTAGGGAAATTGCCACTGTGGCCCGTTCGGGTTCCTTCCCTTTGAAGGAAGTTATTGCCGTCTCTCGGATTTTTTTGCGTGCTCTTCCGCGCGGCGTTCCCACGTTCGTAGGACCGCATCCCCTTTCCGTGCTGACTCAAGACGAGTTGACTCCCTCCCCCAAACTCAACACCCTCCGAACCGAAGCACACCAACTTTGGTCTAATCCCATTTTCTTTGGCCAGTTGCAGACATGGTCTAGAAACATGAAGGACTCCAAACCTAAAACCAACATCTGTTGAACCGGTACGGGTTGTGCTTCACGTCCGGAACTGGTAACGGCAATTGTTCTGCCAACCAGCTTGGACATGTTCCAACTACGGTTTTTTCAGCCTGCGTCTATGTCTGGGACAGGCCCAGCAGGAAACTGCCGGGGAACCCCCCGCGTCCGGTTGTAAACGGGAAGACAAGCTCAATTTCCTGGTTCTCAAGGAATGAGGGACCCCCAAAACGGGAAGACTAGTTCAACAACTCGCTGTTTCTCAGCAAGGAATTGCCCTAGTTGTTTATTGAGGGAGCCCAACCGTGAATCATGTCCATCCTTGTGACTTCCCATCCACTGGCTTCTCCAAATCGGCGCCAAGTGTGCCCTCTCAGAACGACACGAGCCTCTCCTTGGGAGAGCTCTTCGATCAGTTGAGCGGAATGGGAGAGTCCCTGCAGGCTCAGGAGCTGGGGGTAGGAGGGTTACCCCATACCCCCAAAGGATGCTTTGATTTTGCTTGGATGTGAGGACATGAACTTTTTGCCAACTAATGGGTTTTCCGTATTAAAACCACTAAAAAATATTCACTTCCAGCAGGGAATAGAGTCTCGGTCTTGACCCCCCTTCTGGGGTATGAGCTTACCCCCCTCTGGGGTATGAGGGTTTCCCACAAAGACCAGTATGTACCCTTCCTGCCACACACAAGTCGCATCTGTGGAGTATGGCCGGAAGATCCATTTCCTTTCCAAGGGACCTCTGTCAGGTGCCACGGCAACGGGGAGGGTCATCCTTGGTTGTTTGGGCAATTTCCCATCCCACGGAGCAATAGATTTCAATGTTGATGGCTTCCCTTGTGGAATGTCCGTGGACCTTCGTCTTAGCCTCATGAGGCAGCCTCATGGCCTACTTTGGTATCCCAAGAGTGGTTCACCGGGTGTGTCTTTTATAGAGTTGGTACCTCTGTTTAGTGTTTTGAAATGGAAATCAAAAGGAACACCACCATTTATGGGTCCCAACTTATGCAAGCAACTCTTTTTTTGGCAGACTTGCTTTTCAGCAAGCAGCGCTTCCTGAAAGAGCGAACCATGACAAACTTGCATCTTTTCATTGTCCTTGCCTTTGACACACCCCTCCCACATGTCCTTTCCGAAGGGCTGGCACGAAGGGGCTGCTACCTGTTGGGAAAATGGGATTGGGGCGACCAAAACAGATCAGAGGCTGATCATCTCCTTCACACTTCTGCGGACCCCTTCAGTTGGGCGGATGGTTACTCAGCCAGAGGATCTTGTCTGCCTCTTGCTCCAACTCTTAGCATTCGCGCCGGACACCTCGGGCGATACCAAACCCACGTCGCGGGGGATTTCGCGCTAGAGGCGCCAGCTCTCGGCTTCCGTCGACCCGAGTTTTCCGCGTTTATGGTTTTGGTTCAGCTCCGAATGCTCCAGCCCCAAAACGGGTCCTGCTCTAGCGGAGTCCCTGAACTGGGTGCATCTCCGGAAAAACAGGAACAGAAAGAAAGAAATTCAAAAAACAAAAACACAATCGCCGTGAGGAGGGGGTGAACTTTGAGCAAGTGAGCTCCTTGCTGCAGGCGTTGCAGGCGGATGTTGGGCTGCCGCCGGAGAGTTTTCGTTTCGCACATCCCAATGGTCGCTTGGGGTTATACAACGATGGCTCTCGGTACCTGTTTAGGGCGGTTGTGGGAATCTGGGTCATGTCACAAGAAATGGGGCACGGACAAAAACGGGGAGGATTACGGTTAGACGGGCAAGGCATGAGGTTTAGGTGGCAAACCCAGGAGCTGAGCTCCGTCGAAGTCAGCCCCTGGTAAATGGGGAAGTGCACCAGGGGACCTTCAGTGAGGTGTTGCCCGTTTGGGAGGGGTTTTCCCTTCCACCATGGATTTTAGGGTTCCCAGAGAAAGCGATTTTTCAAGCACATGTCCTCCCAAAATTGAATGGGCTCAAAGACGATATTCCTTTTGGTTTCCTCCCCGAAAAGAAGACCGCACGCCTTTCCGCCCTTCTCTAATTGGAGGGGAGTACGGGCGTACCCTCTGGAACTCTACTTGTCCATTCTTGCGCTTCTTGCGCGGGATGGTTCGACAAATGGACATGGGACCAAATCAGTTTACTTTCTGCCCCCAAAGGTGTAGGGTTTTATTGCGTTTTCCATTGAACGCCGATCCACAATGGAACGACACTCAACCAATTTTCAGGTGCTGTATTGTTTTGTAGTTGGTTCAATACACAGGGTACACTCAAAAAGCACCCATCTCAAAAGAGTTGGCTTCGCTTTAAACAAACCCAGTATCTCTAAGCAGAAACTACCTCTCGGTTTCCCCTCAAACCTTTCCGCAAACCCCAAAAAGGACGGGTGGCTCCAGTGCTTGAGCTGCAATCTCAACTTCTGAAGCTCTATTCTCAACTGCCCGTGCTAGCAATCGTTCCCAAAGCTTCTGCTTTGAACCGCTCGCAAGCTTGAGGGATTTGGGTATGGGTCAAAATGAAACCACCAGGAATCGGACCGCAGGTTGAATGGGGCATAACCTATGGCTCCATTTTGGGGCGGATGAACATCCATTTGCCACCTATTTTGATGTCAGTAGGGGTACAGGGTGTTGACAACCACAGCCATTTGTATTTTTGGGCACCCTTCTGCTTTGAACCTTTCCCCTTAAACCTTTACGCCAACCCCAAAAAACGGACGGGTGCCTTACCGCCTCGGCGCGCCTCGCGGCGCGCGCGTCTTGTTGGCGCGCCAAAAATCGGAGGCGCTGAACGCCTTGGGCCTGGACCAGAGCACCGTGCAGTCGCTGCTGGGGTCCATGGCTCTGGGGTCCCTGGGCCTGGGGCCCTTTGCAGCGCTGAGCCGGGGGGCCGAGAGGAGCGGACGTGTTGATGGAAGCTCCTGGGGCCCAAGCCAAAACCAAGTCCCTTCCTTTTCCAGGGGTTAGGGGATTCCATGGAAGCTCCCGGAACTTTTTCCGGGAAGACTTGGTGCCATTGACAGGCTTCTGGGAGCTTGCGACTGAGAGTAACTCGAGTTGGTGGTTTGGATTGGGGATTGGAAGCCCTTCTTGGAGGGTAAGTGGGAAACCACCCCCAACTAAACCACCAATCCGAACCACCAATGAGCGGGAAGCTGAACTGAGTGCGTTGGTGTGCCAAAAGCCCAAGGGGCGGGGAGGGGCTGAGTGTCCTTTCCAGCCTGGTCTTCTCTACAAGCTTTTCCTTCAAAGCTCAAGAGGGGAACCGCTGCTGGGAACTCGGAGAGCCGAGTCTGGCAGTTTTCTCCATTGCTAGCCCACGAGGGGTGCCACCCGACCAATCAAAGAACACTTCCTTTCCTTGGGTTGTTTTTCAAAGTGATCCTTGAGTCTTTATGGGTGCAAACATACCAACATGCAACACGCAAGGCGCATGTTGTGGCATCCTTTACACATGGCTCGGTGACACTCTCTTCAACACGGAATTCCAGAATTGGACACACACTCCACCCTGTCTCCTTGGTACAGGTGTTCTATGCTGTTTTGAGGGCATCTCCTGTACATCGCGACACCGCAGGAATTCCAGGACTAGAAGAAGCTGTAAAGGACCTTGCAGAGACTGAGGAAGTTCAAATATGCTGTCAGGCGTGCCTTGTTTGGAGGATGGCCCATCCTTTTTGGTCAAGCATTTTTCTCAAAGACCCTGGAGTGCTTTAGTTCAACGAGAGACCAAAACGAACCCACTGACATTTTGGGGCCCCCCCTATTTGGGCACATTTGGACAAATACCCGTATACTGTCTCTTGGAGAACGGTCACTTGTCAGCTTCAGGACATATGTTACCACCGGCCAAACAAACCTGCTTGAGAGACACTCATAAAGCCGGTCCGCCTCGATACCTGGGTATATGTTTTTTGTCCCTTTACACTTGGAGTGGTAAAAAAGGGACACCCCTCGAACATTGAGCTTGACTGCTCAATTCTTGATCCCCCTGCCAGATGACTGAGGCGGCTTGAGTCTGCCCACCAACTTCCTCTCCGATCCCAGCCAAATTTTGCAGGCCGGTTTTTCCGGCCAGGTGTAGTCGACCGAGAATTCAGGCTGTTTGTATCTCTATCTCTATCTCTATCTCTACCTCTATCTCAATCTCAATCTCTATCTCTATCTCTATCTCTCTCTCCCTCCCTCCCTCTCTCTTCTAAGTCTATGTACATATACAGATACGGTGTAGATACCACTCACATGAAGTGGACGGGGATGCTGGGGATGCTGGGGATGCTGGGGATGCTGGGGATGCTGGGGATGCTAGGGATGCTGGGGATGCTGGGTATGCTTGGGATGCTGGGGATGCTTGGGATGCTGGGGATGCTGGGGATGCTGGGGATGCTGGGGATGCTGGATGCTGGCGATGCTGGGGAATGCTGGGGATGCAGGCGATGTAGGGATGGTGGGAATTGCTGGTGTTGTTGGAATGTTGGAGAGGGCGGTTGGCGATGCTGAGAATGCTGGGTATGTTACAGCCAATGCCCTTTCCCTCAAACGTCGAGTGCAACATTCCTCCATGGCCACTCAGACCCTTTGTTTGAAGGGATCGTTCACAATGCTTATTTGTGGACAAGATATGGATGATGTGTGTTTAAATGGAGGGAGACCGCCCCATTGCACCACCCAAGGGAACCCACCATAAGATCCCAGCTCTTGCGATAGGGGAATGGTTCACGTGAGTCCCAATGGAAGGGCAGTCTGGTACACGGTTGGTTGTTTTTCGTTTTACGCCTGCTTTAGAGTTCCGCCCTAGCCAGCCGAAAAGCGCTAAAATAAATGGCACAGTTCCCAATTTTGGTTTACTCACTCCGTTTAGGGTTCTATCACAGGCAGAGTCCGTTGCCAAGAGCAGGAAACCTGCATAGGGGTTCCTGGAAGACCATGTTCCTTGGATGGGGATCCTTCAGGTTCCATGTCTGGTGGTCATTGAAGCGTGCAGGGCTTGCTGAGCACCAACAACCTGCAAGCCCTGCGTGGGTGCCCAGTGGTGAGGCGTGGTCCACTGAACCGCCCTGCTTGGAACCAGGGTTCAGTTTTGTCAGAGGTGTCCCTTAGCCCGGTTGCCATGGTCAAATAGAAAAGCCCCAAACAGGTGTCCATAAAACCTTGAGCAACTAACTCCCAAATGCGGGTCAATGACGGTACGCAACGAAGCAACATGCGACCGTCGTGAGCCTTGAGTTGTTATTTCGTTTATTGTTTCACTCTTTGGAGAAGGGCAAAGAGGCAGGTGCAGTGGTACAATGCACCTGGACTTGGTCCGGAATGCACGTGGGGGACCTGACGCGATGCAGTCCGAAAATTCCAAAGCACAGCCGCACTGAGGGAGTGCTGTTCGCCAAGCTTTCGCTTTGGAAACCTGCGAAGGGTGCAAGAAGGGTCTCCTTCCCGCACCCTATGTTCGCGCGTGTTGGGCGGCATCAATGAACGGCCGCAGGCCACCCCCTTCGTGACATGCTTAACTCAGGTGAAGTGCTTTGGTCACTGGGCAGCTCAATCCATTCACCCAGTCACGTAAGCGCAAGGCAAGGGAAAGCGCGCTTTCCAGAGACGCTGCAGGAGCTGATGTTTCATTCACCTCATGGCAACTTTGTGGGTGGCCGACCTGTGGGGAATGGCTTTCTGTTGGTGCCCCTCTTACTAAAACGCCGCTTTGGAGCCGAATTCTGCTGGTAAGCAGGGAAGCCGAGTCTTCGATTTAGGTGGCTACCTATTTGCCCCAAAGCGAGGGCTGCCTTTCCCCGGTGGTTTCGGGCTTCCCTCTTGCCTCAATGGAGGGGGCCTTTGTAAAGGTACCCCGAATGGAGGCTCAGGGGCTCAGACAATGGCTAGCAGCTTCGAGAGGCTATCGGCAGTTGTTTCTTCTACTTTTTTTTCTCTTTTTTTTCTCCGAAATTCAGGCTCCAGTGACCCTCGACCAAAATGTGTGCGGGAACACAAAAAAGCTCGTGTTTTCCTTCTGCTTCCAGGGAAAAGACATCCCCCCTCCCACCTTCTCGCCCGGCCCACGTGGGCAAAAATCGCTCCCGGTCTTTGGGCCCCCGGCGCTCCGATGCTCCGAGGCTGCTGGCCGGCTCCTTCGGGTTCCAGCAGGTGCCCAGCTGCCTCTCTTTTTGTTTTGTTTTGTTTGTTTTTTGTGTTGTTTTCTATTTTTCTGCTTTGTTCTTCTGCTTTTTTTTTTCTCCTGCGTTTTTTTGCCCCTTTTTTTCTCGGCGGGGCCGGGTGGGGAGGGTTCCTCTTTTGGCCCTTCGGGGCCTTTAAACATGTTTGTCATAGACTAAGCATGCTACCAACGGAGCGGTGAAGTAATTCAGTTTGATTAAATGTAGCACAAATGCAGGGTTTGAGACAGAGAACAGTTGTTTGTTGTACCGTGTTTAGTTCTATATGAGTAAAAGCTGGCAAGCTTGTCGTGTTTTCCCAACAGCAACAGCGTTTTGCTAGTATCCGGGATTTCAAGGGTCTCCAAACCATTTTCGTATTGGGTAGGCCAAATATGTTCAACAGACTGATTCTGTCTGGTGGCCCAAATTCCGAGGTCAAACATATGCGAGAACCAGACAAACACACAGGTTCGGCGAAGAAATCCACTCAGGCGAGGGACATGGGAGACACACTGCATTTTTCAGAAGGACTTCCTGCTTCTCCGTTGGAGCCGCGAATATGTTGACTGCTCCTTTAGAGCACTGTGAATGTTGGATTTTGCTTTGGGGTTTGCCTCATGAGCCCCTCGTTGGCTTAGGGAGAGCACCTTGGGATAGCCTTGGCCCCGGTCTGCGGGGTTGGATCGGATCGACTGAAGGGTCTGGAATTCGGTGATCCTTGCTAGGGCCTAGAAGGTCAGAGGTCAGGCAGCTGAGATGAGATTGGTTCATGTGACGTATGGGCCATTTGGAAGACTTGGACACGGAGAAAACAATTTTCCCGCAAAATCCATGGGACGAGCCCGAACTGTTCCCTGCTCCTCCTCCAAAAAACAAGTCATTTTGACCGTGGCTCCAGTAAAAACACCGTGTGTCAAACCTTCTCGGCTCGCGAGTGGCTGTGCGTTGTCTGAAGCCCACCAACTTGCGAGTCTATAGAAACCGTCGTCGCGTCATGTCACGTTCCATGGGTCCCTCTGCCATCTCTCTCTCTCTCTCTCTCTCTTTCTCTCTCTCGGGAGGGTTCTTTGGGCCAAGTTTGGGCCAAAGCCCCGCTGAATGCCGGCGCCGTCATTTGGCCTGTCATTTTTTTTTGGGGGAACCTTCAAAAACATGGGTTTTCCTTTTGGTTTCCCTCCAAAGCCACGGAAAAACGGGTACCCTCAACAAAAAGAAGAGAGACTTGTTTGGTGCCCTGAACCAAAGCCCTGGTTTGATCGAACCGAAGCCCTTGACTCGCCTCTGGCCGACGCCAGCCGCATCGGCAGGTCCGCGACCTCCGCGCCGTGGCGGAGTTCGCAGACCGAACAGTTCGCCCCTGAGGGCGGCGGTGGCGGCGGTGGCTCGATGGTTTTCGGGGCTCCGACCAACAGCTGAAAGCTATTGATCTGGTCGCTGCCCAGGTTCTGGGGGGTTTGGGGCATCTTTCAGGGAGGCTTTGGGATTTGAACACGTCGTTTGTCCTTTGTGGGATTTAAACATCACGTTTTTGGCCGTTTTAAGATGAGTCTCCTTTTGGCGAGAGGATGATTGAAGGAGACATTTGAACCCAGGACCCACCCTAACTACTCCCCCCTTTGGGTTGTTGTGGACAGCACCATGACCCATTTGTTGAGCTGAGAGCATCGGATTCCCTAAGCCCTTGCTGGTTCGCGGCAGCTACGCTGGGTCAAAACAAAGACAAGTTCTCAACTTTTGGGGAATACCAATCCAAAGGCAGACCCAGTCGAACATTTGTTTCAAGGTGCCTTCGGTCAGCTTCCGAATCAGTCGATGGAACTTGCACCCCCCCCCCTCCTCCTTTGACAGATGTAATTTTCCGGCGTGGGCTGGTATACTTGGAACACTGCGAGGGAGGGGGGATGGGCTGTCGGTGTTGTTGAGTTTGACCCCCTCGTCAAAATCCTAATCCTCCGTTTTGAGGGGGGTGGGAATGTACCTCTGGACACCCGTTTTGGTTCAGATTTTGAAAGGTGCGCATCCAAGATCGCAGCTCGCAGCTGCGTTTTTTTTTGGGTGTTTCCAGACGTATGAGCCAGGCTAGGGTCGGATTTGTTGATTTGGGCCCAGTTGCAGCCTGACGTTTACGCAACCTCGTCAGCTTTGCCTGTGGATTGGAGGTGTCCCAAAACGTTGGAATCTCCTTCTTTGGATAGTACTTGAGGGAACGAGAAAGGGAATGGGTGTGTCTTTTGAGGGTACCCTTTTCAGGTTGGTTTCAGGAAAAGCCAAGGGTAAACCAGCATCTTTGGGGTCACCCTGTTTTGAGACATACCAATTCATTTTTGCTTGGATCCCCTAGTTTTGGAAACTCCCACATTCTCACCTGAATAGCTGGTTGAAGGATGATCACATGGCTCAATGCATGCGAGGTCGAATGCAAAAAAGCAAAAGGTGCGCAAACAATTTCGTTTCTTCATGCATGTTGCAGACACTTGAGGAGGCTGCTTTCTTTTTGGCGCCTTGGAGTCTCTGTTTTATATTTTTTGCAAGAATACCGTGCTGAACAGCCGATTGGACATGTCTGAAGTGCGGTTGCTGTTTGCATAAGAGAGAACATGGCAAAGTAAGGGACTGCCCCAAATAGTTGGTCTTCTAACTGTCACGTTGGCGCTCAACACACCTGCTACTTTGAGGATTGCTTTGCGTACACCATCTCGGCAAGGGGCGTCAAGCCCCTGCGATGTGTGAGCAAGTGACTCAACGTGGATCCCTTGGAAACCGACATGAGTCGGCGCGTATCGTGGTGACAACTTGTGCCGGGGCTGGATCCGGCACCCGGGCAACTGGAACTTTCGATGCTGTGGTGGATGAAGCGGGAAAGACCGAACTCGGCTTGGGATTTGTGGTGCTGCGGAAGCGCTCAATTAATTCTGAGGCTGCTTTTGGTTGGTGA